AACTGGATGGGCTTTAAGGTCCTTTCCAGCCCAAACCATTCCATGATCCAGGGATTTAATTAGAAACATAATATGGTTCTCTGTTTCAAGTATAAACCCATAAAATAATACCTTATACAGCCAGGTAGGAATTGTTCTGTGTTGGACATTAAGCTTCAATCTTACAGGTTCAAAGTAATTTCTATATATCTCTAAGAACCTGATGTTTCTTTTAATCTATTTTAAAAGAGGGAGTTCTTTTAATTTTCGGGAAGAAAACCCCACATTATGTTGAGATGATTAAAGAATTATGAGGCCTTGGATTTTCGGGATGGTTATTTTTAGGTTCAGACTTTGCAGAACTGATTTTTGAGGAGGAATTTTGTTCACTGGGAGATGGGGCAGGTGCAGCTCATTGCAGGAAACACCAGCACTGAGGGATTTGGGAATTGGTGCCTGGATGGTGTGTTGGCTGTTTGGTCCCACACACTTTGAAAGACATTTGAGGAAAAGGAGGTGGGTGCTTTAAAAATCCACATTTTGAAAGCTGTTGGGAGCATTCACAGGCACTTAGCCCAGCAATTTGCCAAAATTGTGTATTTTGGAGATTATAACAGCATTTTCCCCAACCTGTGGAGCTTCTGCTGAAAGAAGTTACGTGGCTATTTAAACATTTCATAACCTAGAAAGGAGTGAAGGACAAACTGTTGTCTCAAGAATTGCTCCTGAGCCTCTTATTTATGGTTCTAGAAAGGCTTCAGCTGCATCCATTTGCTTACCAGAGCACCCAGACCATCCTGGAGAACTGGAGACACCTGGAACTTTTGAGTTACCTAAGGGAAAACTCTGGAACAGCTGCTTCCCTAAACCTTGTCTGGTCAGCACCACAGAAATAAAACTAATTAAACTTCAACTCAGTAGTAACTCTTTTTTTTTTTGCTGAGTTCTCAGGTTTAGAAAGGTCATTTATGAATATATGGAGCACAGCAAGGGGCAGCAGCTCCGGGCTCTGCAGTTGCCAAATTCCAGCAGAACATTCTCAACTGTAAACTTGGAATTTTGTACAGAGGCCTAAAAACCTACTTTGGGAAATGAAAGGCTGGAAAGTTGGTTGTTTTTTTTTTTTCTGTAGTATAATCACTCACTAAATGTTTCTCTGTGTAAAACAAGTATCAGCTACATTAGCAATATATCCATATTATTTAAAGCAGGGCTGTCCTGTATTCTGAGAGGCAGCTGGACACAAAATCCCTTATTTTCAGGCTGTGGCGTTGGTGTTTCTGCAGCAAACACTGTTCAGGCTGGTGCAGCACTTCAGTTCTAACTCCTGGATTCGAAAACCTTCCCAATATTTTACTTTTACCTCTGTAAATGGTTTAACTGTGTAAGAACAGCAGCAGCACCCAGTCAGTGGACAGTCCATGATGCTGGATAGCATTTGCCTTATTTATATTTATATTAATCTAGACAATCTATCAGTAAAACTGGCTCATTCATGTCAAATTGGGTGTTTTTAGACATTTTAGGAGTACAGGTGGTGCCACCATCACAGTGCCACCCGTGCCACCCCTCCCTGTGGGATGAGATCCCTGTGCCTGGTGCTGGATGGTGCAACAGGAGTGGGATCGGTTTGGTGTGAAATAAAACGGTGTCTCCTGCCAGCCCTGAGGTGAGCAACGAATTCCTGACTCCAGCTCGGGAGACAAGGGACAAGGGGGACTTTAAATCCCTCCCCTTTGCCCCACGGGCTGAGAGAGCCGCTGTGGAATTGGAGGGAATGCTGCGGAGTTCCCATTCCCAGGGCAGGCTCAGGCCACTAGACGGAGCCACAACGCCACCAACCCCAGCCCTGGAGGGACAAGCAGGGAAAGTCCCAGCCCTTCCAGGAATTCTAGGAAGGATCAGCCTGTCTGAACCCCTCCCAGTGTATAATCAGAGTGGTGAACTCCATGGCACTCCAGGATCCCAATCCTGATCACTGAACATTAAAATGTCCCACGTGAGTTAATGGGGAGCTTGTGACATCCCTGGGAACAGCCCCAATTCCTTAAGCACTGGACCAGCTGAACTAATGAACAAGGTACATTTTGTCACATTGGACCACAGGAAAGATGCTCTGGCAGCAACTCAGTCCCTCAGTTCTGTGCCACAGGAGGCTCTTCCCAAGGGAACAGATGTCACCAGCGGAGCCACTCGGGCTCGGGCTACAAAAAACTTCCATGGCAAGAGGAGCTCCCAGCTGTGTTCTGGCCACTGCCACCAAAAGGCAGCTCTTTTTTTTGGAGAGGTGCCCAGGCAGGAGAGCAGCAGGGAGGAACCCCTTCTGCCACGGCGGATATTTCTGGCTACAGCACCTGGCAACCCTTCCCAGCTGGAGGATGGAGCGTTAAGGCAGTGGGAGAACCCTGGATTGTTCAGGTTGCATCAGCAAAAGGTACATTACTCAACCTTGTCGTCCCACAGCTGTGTCACGACAGAATTTGGCACAAATCAGCAAAGTTCTACATGTCTGGGTTTGGATGAAAAGCTTTGCAGGCTGGCAGCAGAGAGCACAGGCAGGCACTGAGCACGGAGGTGGAAGAGCACACAAAGCCTCTCACCTCCTTCAGGCCTTCAGCTTCACACCTAAAGCAGCTGAAACTCGTTTTTTAAAGTAATAAAAGCCCAAATCACCAGCTCAACAGAGATGATGGGCCTGGATGGCCAGGACAGTGCAGAGGGAGGGGGAGAGGAGGCTGCAGAGGAAGCTGAAGGTGCTCCAGCAGCTCTTGCTGCAGCTGCAGACACTTGAAGGCTGGAGCAGGGCTGATTTGGTGCCTGCCTGGAGGGGCTGGGAGTGACAGAGGGAATGATCCTGGAATAAACATCCAGGCAAACCCCTTCTGTACTGCACTGCACTGTTTTCCTAAATCCTGTGAGCAGGGCTTGCTTCCAGAGTGCTCCCACTGCTCCTCATGGCTGGGAATTCCTGCCACCTTGTCATCCTGTCTGTCATGAGTGCTGGAGCACAGCCAGTGAGCCAAGCTGTGGAGAAGGTCATGGATCCCTCAGGGATGCTCAGGAAAAGGTCACAGATCCCTCAGGGATTCTCACCTCAGGAGTGGGAGCTGCAGGAGGCTCAGTGCAGCCAGCAGCTTTCACTCCAGTGCTTTTAATCTACTATGTTTTTTTGGGAGCTGACCATCATTGCAGTTCCAACTCCCCCAGTTCCTGTGAAGGTGATGCCTCTGCTACACAAACATCCCTCTCCTTTGGAGCTGCTGGGTCAGATTCTCCTTCTCCCTGGGCAGCTCCCCAGGCTGTGTCCTCCAAAGGAGAGCTGGTGCAATGGAATATCTCCTGTGAAGGACACAGGAGCTCTGACACTGCTGCTGTGCCATTCCTGGCTCCAGGACTGAGCACTCCCAGGGAAATACCACACAAGGTTTGCATTTCCCAGCCTTCTGACCTCAAACACCTTCTCAAAGTAAAACAACTGAAGTGCTCTGCAGTTTTTAACGTTTCCTGGGAGCTGCTCAATTGAACTGCCAAGCTGCATTGCCAAGTCACTGCATGTACTGCTCAAGGGATTAAAAAAGTTGGGAGCCTCCCATTCTCCAGGGAAGGAGCAGTGCTGGACACTTCCCTCTCCTGCTTTTCACTTTTCAGAGTCAAAGGGCTCCACTTGGAGTCTGGGATGAGCAGAGGCTGCAAAGGGATCCCTTACACGTTTTGGACAGCACTGGTAAAGGCAACAGATCCAATTAAGAGCTGTGATTATCCCCAACAAATTAAAGGAGGGAGGTCCCTTGGGGAAGAGGTAACCTAGGAACAAAACTGAAAAGACTAAGATAGGAATTCCCTCTTGAGCAGGATTTTGTGCTCTTTGATTTTCTCCTTGAGAGACCCAGACCTGCTCAGCACCCAAGAACAGGCCAGTTAATGCAGCAGATCCCTGATTCCCCTCCAGACCCAAACACCAACAACCTCCAGCACCCTGAACCTTGAGCAGATGGTCCAGGACCACGTTTTGCAGGGAGATTCCAAGGATTATTACAATTCTCCAGCCTGGTCCGTTCATGTCACACACCCTGTCCCTCAGCAGTTGTTACCACGTGCAGAACAAACTCACACTGTCCTCCTTCAAACTTACAGCAGCCACAGGTTCCAAAACACAATTAAATACTGAAAGTTAGATCTAAGCAGGCTTTTCTCTAGATTTAACACAAGCTTTCATCTCTACAGTGCAACGACGCTGCCTGGCATTTGTACATTATCCCAAAACACGGCTGTGCCCCGGGATTAACACCACGAATCCATCTGCAGTTGGTACCAGGAATAACCACGTGAGCAGCCCTGACTCAGGCAGCTCTGAGGAACTCCCTGCTCTGAGGAGTTTTCCAAAAGTCACTAATGAAATTAATTTTACCTTGCATTGCTTTCCAAGTCCATGCCAACAAAATAAGGTCAGGGTGATCCTTGGTGGAGGACAAACACTCTGCTCTCACAGCTGAGCTGTTTTCTCACACAGAAGGTGTCAGACCTCAGAGTATTTCGCTGAAGTTTACCATGAGTTGGTTTGGATACAATATGGCCTAGAATTGTTATAGAGTAATGCACAGCCTGAATAAACATGTGGCTTCAGGTAATTCAGTATCTCTACCTACTCACATGCTTGGCAGGGATTTGTTGAAGGGGGGTGAGGTTAAATGAAGCGAGAGAGCCAAGAGTGTGGCAGCAGGGGGAGAGTTGGCTCCTCTTCCTCCTTCATATAAGAGGCCAATAATCACAAACCTTTTCCTATTCAGCCTTATCACTGTGGGTTTAAGGGATGAGGAACATGAGCAGTCCCAGCTATGGGGGAAAAGCAGCAGCACTGCCCTGACCCTGCCGTGCACCTGGACCGACCTCGGAGACGGGAGGGGAGGAATCCAACGGGAAGTCTGCACAGGATTCGTAAAGAAAATGGTGCAATGGAAGGTTCCAGTCAGTTTTGGAGGAGCAGCAGCAAGGTCACCAGAGGCAGGGACACGTGGACAAACTGAATTCCTGTCATTGCTCAGCATGGATTTGTTGTATTGCTCCTGTTGTCAAGCACAGAACAAAGAGCAGAGGCGTCCGCTCCTCCCGCGGGGAATCGGAGCGGCTTTTACTCGAGCTTCCTACTGTGTTTGTGCCGAGTTCAGAGGGAGCCTCTGCTCACTGCTGCTCTTCTGCTTTGCTGCTACTCCTGAACTTCACCACCATGACTGTGATGTTGTCAGGGCACCCTCTGTAGAAGGACTGGAGGACGATGCTCTTGGCCCCGAAGTGCGGCTCGTCCAGGCGCTCCTTGATGAACCTCACGGCCTCCTCGTTGCTGAAGGCGTCCCACAGCCCGTCAGAGGCCAGGATCATGAACTCTGGCTGCAGTTTGTCCAGGTCAAAGCTGAGGATGTCGGGATCAGGGATCACAACGTTCAGGTTCTTCAGGGGGTAGTCTCCCAGGGAGCGGGACATGGCCAGGATCCCCTGCACGCGCCACGAGCCGTTGAAGCTGATGAAACCACCTGCAGAGAGACACCAGCACTTAGAGCAGCTCTTTGAAACCTTAAAAGCATTCCTCTGGTTCCTGCCAGACCCAGCCTAAACTCCATCCTGAGGGATACAGGGGTTACAGAGCTCAACGTGCAGGAGATGCCTTCAGCACATCTCAGAGTGCTGAGCAGGATTGCAAGAGCTGAAGCAGAGGAATCAGCAGTGGATCTGCCTTCAAACAAAGCAGCTCCCCCAGAGAGACCCCCAGCTCATGGAACAGCACAGGAATTCCTGTCCTACACAACTCAGTGCTCAGGAAAACTCCCGGTGATGCGCAGAGGAAAACAGCGAAACAAATCTTTCCATTCCTGTCTGTGAACGCCTCTTCCTGTGTGGGTCACGTTTCCCATTTCACATCCCTGAAGGAGACAGCACTGAGAACACCCTGCAGTGGGACACACGTCTGCCTTCAAGGCACAAAGCAAAGAAACAAGTGCAAAAACATTTACAGGCTCTTCCCAAACTGCCTCTGTCAAACAGGACCAAAATTCTGTCGGGGACAAACCGATGGCAAAACTCGACTTCGAGTCAGGAAAATGCACCGTGGGCCCTGACTGGTTTTGCCATCACCAGGATTTAAGGATCTGGTTGAGTCTCTTTTCTTTAGGGCTGGCTTGGAGGGAGGTCTGTTCTGCACTGCACTTGCTGGCTCTGCCACAGCCACACCTGGCTGCTCCACGGTGCCAGTGTGCCAGGAATGGGAATCAGGCAGCACTCAAGGTCACCCAGGAGACTTGTGGCACCTCCAGTTCCTGTGCATCCATCTGCACACCAACAGCTGTTCCATCACAGTGTTCCTGTCATCCTAACGGGAAGGAGAAGTCACTCGAGGACAAACAATTTGCAAACATGGAACACTAAATGTAGGACAGGATTTTCTATCTGCAAACTGTCTGCTCTGGTGTTCTTACAAATGTCTTTGTTCTTTCTTCAGCCTGGGTGTTATTTGTCACCTGTCTCCTAAATCTTCTCATAGCATTCCCATTCCTGGCTGGCTGATCTTATCTGTAAATTCCTTCTGCTTTCAGGTGAAACTATTTCATTTAAGGATTCATTGTTGCCTAAAGCTTGAAACTTGATTTGTGTTAAAACCAGCAGAAACAAAGTTCTTTAACTGGGTGTTCTTCTGAACATTCCTCTGGAGCCTCCATGAGGAAGATGTTTCCTTCCATAGTCCAAAGAATTTGGGAGCATCCTCTTTGGATCCACAGCCATGCAAAGCTTACTCCACACTTCCTCCAGGCTTTGCATGTCCTATGTGGACAAAGAGACTTTTGGTGCCATTCTCAGGTGGCACCTGGAACTGCCCGTGGCACAAGTGGTTTCCTCAAGTGTCTTTGGCACTTGCAATATTTTCTTTTGTAAAGGAATCCCAATCAAATCCATAGAAATGCTCGGGAAAAGCAAACACTGCAGTGCTGGCTGTGCCTGGAGAAAAAGGCATTAAAGGAACTGAGGCTTCTTGGCAACAGCACAAATGTTTTCCCTGTGAACGAGGGCTGAGCTCACAAGATTATGCTCAAGGTGAATAACTTGAATTTCTGTCAGTGACAGTCACCTTGTGCTTCCTCCCAAGCCAAACCCAGGCTGTTCCAAGGCCATTCTCCTACACCAACAGGGCAATGTAAAGCTGGAAAATGTCAGTGAAACCTGGTGATGTGGTTATTGTCACCTCCTCCAGTTCCTCCCAGCAGGGATCTGGATGCTGGGAAAAGCCAGGTGCCTTTTGTCACAGGAGCAGATAATTCAGCTGGGGCACTTTGCTTCAATTTTACACTTAGTGGATGGAAAAAAAAGGGATGTTCCAGAATGTAAAAGTACCTGGCAGTGGAATAAAAAGTGAACTGTATGTTTTTAACAGCACTCTGAGGCCATAGCAGTGATGAGGTAACAGAGGAGGGAATTCATGAAGTCACAGGTCTAGAGAGAATATTTCTTGTTCTGACATTTACCTGCCCATTAAAATAATTTCTTCCCAAGTTGGAAGTTCCTGCAAAAATCCAGGTTCATTTTACCTGCTGTTGTGTTATAAAGCCTCATTTTCAGACAAACCAAATAATCAGATTATTTTTTTTCTCCTCAGTGAATTCCTCCTGGGCTTGGCTGAGAGGGAAGTGACTTTATAGATAAATTTTATGAATACATGCCCCAAATACAAAAGGGGAAGCAAAGAGAGACCAAGATTTTTCTATTCCTTCTTCTCAGGACTTGTATGGTTTTCCTTCCTTCCCCTGGGGGGAGCACACGTGGCCTTGGCTCTGCCATCATAGTGATGACCTGTGGGTTTTAAGTATGTTTTGTACTCATGGAAAATCTTGTTATTTCCATTTTACAGCCAGAGGAAGGCTTGGAGGCAGAGAGGCCCTGCTCCTCTGGGGGCAATGCTCAGGGGGGGGTTAACACAAACCAGAGCAACTCCTTTCCTTCAGCAAGTAATTTGCTGCTGCTGTGGGAGCCAAAGCAGAAATGGGTTCAAAAAGACTTTGACAAATTCCTGGAGAATTGGCCATTAAACTTGATGATCCCAATGTAATTTCTAGCCCAGGAGGTGGCTGAACTGACGAGTGATGAAAGCGAGGAAGATTTATTGCAGAAAGGCTCCTGTTTGTTCCATCCTTTCCCTCTACTCCTGCCACAATTTCCACGTTTGTGCTCATTAGATGGGAAGAAAAAATAGCTTTGATGAATTAGGTTCATGCTCTGCTTATTTTGGAGACTAAAGCTGGCTCAGGCTCAGACCCAGCCAGGCTGTGGGCAGGGTTGGGGTGAAGCAGCTGCTGCTCCTGGTTATTCACTGCTCCCTGCAGAGATCCCAAGGGATGGGATGGTCCACGGACTGTTGTTGCTTTTTCTACCCCAACACCAGCTTGTTAAGGAGTGGATCATCTGCTGCCATCTCTGTCTGCACTGTGATATCCCACTGGAAGGGGGAGATTTGCTCTGCTGATCCCTCAGTTGGGCACTTCCCAGCCTCTCTCAGGGAAAAAACTGTATTTTATCGGCGGGACAAAAAAAGATGGACTTTCACCCCAAAGCCAAACCAACTCACCAGCTCTCTTAATCCTCTTCCTCTCCTTCAGCTGGTAGGGCTTGTGGTCGTGGGACAGGGGGATGGCATTCCCGTCCTTGTCACACAGGACTCCTCGGGAATCCCCCACGTTGGCCACGGTGAGCTCCTTGTCGGACAGGAGCGCGATCAGACACGTCGTACCTGGGAGAGCAGAGGGAGTGGGGAGCAGAGCAGACACACAGGGGGGGTGTGTACACACAGAGATGTGAATTATTAGCTGGGAAATGTTCTTCCTGCCACAGAATCCCTGAATCACTGAGGTTGGGAAAGCCCTCCAAGAGCAGTGAGTCTGGTGATGATCCCGGCTTGTCACCCGGCCCAGAGCTCTGATCCACACTCACGGTGGCAGAGAGTGGGAGGAGTGTTTCCCATCTCCATCCTGGAACTGGGCCTTTCCTAATGGCCAAGGAAAGTAATTAAAGCACAAATTAGCCCCAGAGCCCCCTGGCTGCTCCCAAGAACTGAACCTGGAGCTCTGGGATAACCCAGAGCTCCCCCCCCTCGTCCCCTCCACAGCTGAGGTCACTTCTTTATGGTTTTACTGGAAAAAAAAAGGAAAAAATTGGACATTTTTAATTACTTTAGCCTCTAAATATACAGCAAATGTAATTAGTCATTGATCACTATATCCAACAGGTGTTTTTTGGCTCATATGGCAGGAAATCCTTGGAAAAATGGGGTGTTTTTCAAGTATGAACATTATAGTTTGTATTTTCCTCGTTTAATTGATAGAGTGGGATGGATATTGAACAAAGCAGACCTTAGTAAGACCATGACTTTTCTATATTTCCCCTCCAGCTACTAGGAGCTGCATTTATAAAAACTCCAGCTATTACAAATATTCCTTGCACGGGCTTTGGACCAGACAGCACCATTTCATCCATGCCCCAGAATCCAAAGATGGAAAGGAAGTTTTTAGACACACAGGTAAAAAGGGAACAAAGATTAAAAGGGAATTTTAGCACTGATGGCACAGTTACAAAAGGCACTCTGGTATCTCTCAACAGTAAATCAAATTAACTTAACGCTGTGCCCTTTTTCTTTTAGGCAGACCAGAGAAGCACAGGGTTGAGTTTTCACCTCTGTTATTAATTTACAAGTGATTATTCATTGATAAAAAGCTTTATCTCTGGGAGAAGCCTGCCCAGTCTTGGGGATGAAACTCCAGCACCAGCACTGGGACAGAGCAGGGCTTCAGCCTGTGCTCTGTGGCCTGAAAACCAATTTCTCATGGCTGCTGCTTGTTGCATCTCTGCCCAAAACACAGTTAAAAGTTCTGCTTTGCTGTTCCCATGTCAGTAGCTAAATATCCCATGACTGGTATAAATAAAATAGCCAGTAATAAACAAATTGTGCCCAGATGCCCTGTGTCCCCAGGGTTTATTTTTGACTGCCCTGCACAGCCCTAAACTAGAGCTATTTTTTCACAAGGCAGGCACAGATAAATATATATATTTATTAGTAATTTTTTTGCCATGGATGGACACATTGCAGACCTGTATGGATATAGTTTCTCATTTGTTGGTAATGGCTCACTGCAGACAGAACACAGAGAGGAACCTGCCCACCAGGATCCCCTCAGGAACCCAAAAAATGAGTGTCCTGCTCCAGAATTATCTCCTCTGAAGCCTCCAGGATTTGGCCCTGAGGGCGTGAAGGCTGTGCCAAGAGGGGCAATAAGAGAATTACAGCAACAAACAGCACCTCCCTTGCTTTTATTTATGGAACTTTCCCTGACAAACATCCCAGCAGCCTCGGGCTGCCCTCCTGCATCCTGGAGGGCTGGGACCTGCCCTGGCTGGGCAGAGATTCCCAGAATCCACCGGGTTGGAAAAGAAATCAGCAGCTTCAGGGAGAGAAAGAACAGCTGCCTTGGGAGTTTGGGTGGGAAACAAAACCTGGGAGATGTAAAATTGAGTCCTGCTGGAGCCAAAACAGCCCCAGGAGGACCCCAGGGTGCTGCAGGACAGGAGACTCCAGGATCCACCACCCAACTCACTCTGAAGGTCAAAGCTTTACCTGCCCAACACTTCCATGTCTAAATTCCTGGATTCTCCTGCGTCCCAGCCCACCCTCCTGCTCTGCACCCCCCCAGACTGTATTTTTCCCTCAGGGAGCACCAACATCATGTTTCCTACCGAGAAAAACTGCGAATAACCCTGTGCAGCCCCCGTGCTCAGGAAGTGAAATGCTTCCCAAATAGAGCCATTATGAGCACAATTTATATAAAAATGATAACACTGAACATAGTCTTCTTGGTTATATGATCTGTGTGGACGAGGGAGAACGGAGAGTCTGCGACAGAGGGTGATTTGCAAGGTGATTTAGGAAGGATCAGCTCTCTCCAGCTCCCTGATGGATGGCTGGGATACCCTTCCATCCCCCACCTGCCCCGAGAAAGCAAAACTCATTTTGCTTTGTTTTCCTTCCCATCTATTTTTATTTCAGTCGTTTAACCTTGTGTGGAGCGAGGGAAACACCGAGCCCTTGTCAGCAGCCTCAGATTTAATGCAATTGCCCGACGGAAAATTCCCAGCAGAAAAGGGCCTGGAATTGAGAACACATGTTGGATGAGTCCCTTGGGGTGGCAGCCTCAACAACCCAGCCCTCTGCAAAGGAAAGCAGCTGAAAAGTTAAACCCTGGACTAGACTGGCTGTGGAGATGTTGGATTTTTTTAAGTCAGGTAAGATTATTGGTGTATTTTAATATTTTAGCATCAGAAAAGGCACTTGGTAGAAGTCCAAGTAGCAGTTTGTGGATAATTGTTTCAGAAGGGGAGAAAACACCTCATCAATACATTAATTATATTCATAGAATATTATATATAATTTTATATATAAAATATATTTAAAATATATTCTATATATAATAGGGAATATAATTAAATATGTTATAATTAACACATCAATTATATTTATATAATATTATATCTATAATGTATATGCATATATTTTATATACTAGAATATATTTTATATGCATTATATACAATACATATAATATATATTATAAATTATATATAATATATATTAATATATTATATATTATATATATTATATATATTATATATTATATATATTATATAATATATAACATACACTATTTATAATATATTATATAATATATATTAATATATATTATTATATTATACATAATATATATTATATATTATATATTATGTATAATATATATTAATAATATATATATTATATACAATATAACATGTATATATTTTATATATATTTTATATATTGTATATTAAATATATATTCCTCTTTCTGGCTCTTCTCTTCCTCCTGTACAACTGTTGTTTTTAATCATATTTAGGGCATCACTTTATTTCCTGCTCTTATAAACCCTCCTAAAAACTTACAGGAAGATTTTCAGTCATTTTCCAGGCTCAGGCCATTTCACTTCCAGCACTGTTCCATGTTCCTGCAGGATCACTGTCCCTGCACAGTTGTGGGATTACAGATGTCTGCTCTCAGCAGGGTGAGCCCAAGCTCTGCCTCCCTGGGAACAGCTTTAGCCAAGGCTGGGAGAGAAACATTCCCAAAACTCCTTGTCAGGACAAGGATTTAAACACACCTGGTGAGTTATTACTATTGGAAGTGTATTCCCATATTTCCCCAAAGGACCAAACAGAGCCCTAAAGCACAACCCAAGAATGACTCTGGATCAGTAATTTTTTTTAATTTTAAGGAAAGATATAAATCCAACAGATTTAGTCTTCAGTTTTAACGGGTTGCTCTGACAATGACCCACAACATCCCACCACAGGTAACTTATTTATCCTCACTGCAATAGAGCATAATGATAAATTCCCTGTTAAAGCTCTTTGCAGAGAGAAAAAACCCCATTTTTCCCTAACAAAGCATTTATTATCCCTGTTATTTATGATTTCTGCTGCAATTTTCCTGCTTTAATGTTCTCGTTTTCTCCTTGTAAGCATTTTCTCTGGGGGGAAATCACCTCCTTCCTGCAGTGGCAGAAAGGGAGCAGTGTCCTGGGAAAGGGGGCATCCCAGGAAAGGCTGAGCTCAACCCCCCACCTCACCCACAGCTGCACCCAGCAAACATCAGCTCAGAAAACACATTTTTGGGCTGACACCTGGCTCTGGATGCAGCTCCTAAATATCAATATCTTCCCTGACTGCCTGACAGCAGGGAAAACCGGAATTCATCTCTTTTGTCGGGCAATAATGAAACTCAATTTCTACAGGACTCTGAGGGGAGAGGGACCATCCATTACGGAAAAACCAATTGCCCACAGGACAAAACCACCTCTGGAATCTCCCAGCAGGTTTGAGCTCCCTGTTAAAATTCTAAAAATTGCCTTTAAATGCCCAAACTTTGCGTTTTTCCACCCCGGATGTTTGGAGGTGCCATAAATCAAAGGAATAGGATTAAGGGGCCGACAAAGCTTCGGTGGGAGAAAATATTCCTGCACAAAATTACCTCGGCCTCAGTCAAGAATGCCACTTTTTAAACGAAGGGATTTAAAGATTATGAGAGGATTTGTATCCATCTGTCACTTTTGGCCTCCTTTCATTTAGTAAAGCTTCCTTAGTCAAACCTCAAATCTTGCCAGCGTTGGCTGTTTTCAGACGGATTCGTTTTATTTGGGTGCTCCGAGGGATTGATTTCCTGAAGGGAAAAGATTCCCAAAGAGGCACTGGGATGTTGAGCCCACGGAAGCTGAGTTTTATTAAAATTGAATCTCGTCAGAAAGGCCAAATCAACCTGCAAAATTGTGCCAAAGCCCAAGGCATTTTAGGGCAGTTCTGTTTGATTCTGGGCAAATGGATGCAACTGGATTCTACCCCCTTTGGGAGACACTCCTGGGAGAATGGAGTGAGCTGGGGGTGCAAACTCTTGGAAAATGGCCCTTCCAAGAGGGATGGGAAAGGTTTCCTGGATGGAAAAGGTGTGGAAGTGCTCCTGTACATGCAGCTACTGACCCCTGGATCACCTTAAACATCTCCCTTTCCAGTTCCCCCGGCTGACGTGTGGCAGAATTCCACGTGATTACTGAAATGAAACCCTTGACAACACACTCCAGGCTGGGTTTGGTTGATCCCTCAACTAATTCCCTTTCACCACAATCACTTCATTTTCCCAATTTGGATTTTGAAAGACTGTTTCTTTTGGTTTTCCTGTCCCACCAGCAGCTGGAGTTTCTCCCTGAGTTGATTTTGGTGTGGAAAAAGGCCAATAAAAGGAAAATGCCCCCCCCCAAGAGCTGACTGGTTGGAGCACCTGGGATCACCCACAGCTGCTCAGTTCTATTTAACTGCCCATTTTCTGTGCTTTGCTCACAATCACATCTTGTTTGAAGAGCAGGGAGCACCATTTCTGCCTTTCTAGTAAACAAGTGCCATGATTAGGATGATGACAGGGCTCCCTCACCGTGTTTTCATCTCTAGAGGTGTCTCCACCTGACTGAAGCTGAAATTTGGGGGTTTTTATTTACAGCTCTGCTGTCTCTCCCTTCTGAATGTGTGTAAATGCTGGGACTTTCCTAAACCAGTTATTTCTGTGGCTTCTCATTTGCACCTGATTGTTTATTGTGTGACAGAAATCCCCAAATATGGGTTTCAAGCAGTTTTAATCTTAATTTTCACTGTACATAGTTTTCCATAGAGGAAAAAGCTTTTTTTTCCTTCTGACAGGAGTCAGTGATTTCCTCCATTTCATTTTTTCCTTCCTAACAAAATCCCATCCATCAAAATATCTGGAGAGCTGGAGTGACCAAACCAGGGGACAAGATTTACACGACTCACCGGACTGGGAAATTCTGCGTGAAAAGACATAAAGAGAAGCAACAACTTTGGAAGCTGATTTTTTTATGCATCATTAAAAACAGGCCGTGTGTGATTAAGGAGATGTTCTGCACCCTCATTTTAACTCTTGATTTTGAGAACTTGAGTGACTCTGAGCTCCTTCTGTCTGCAAAGGCAGCACCCGGGGCTCCAGAGCACCTCAGATCACAGGAGTTGAGGGAACCAGCCTTATTTATTGGGTTAATGAGGGGATATCACCCATAAAGAGACAGAGCTTTGTAATTACTTGACTCCAGCAGAGCTCCCAGCCCTGTGAGCACCCTGTGAGCTCCATCTGCAAAGGGCATTTGGAGCTGCTCGAGCGCCCTGGAGATCAAAGGAGGTCCAAGAGAATCTCACTGCTGGTGAGTGGGAGGCTGAGGAGGAGCCTGAACAAAGCTGATAAGTAGTTGGAGCATCTTAAGCACTTCAGGGCACTGCAGTGTGAGTAGAAATCATAGAATAAAGTACCAGCAGCTTGGCAGGGCTGGGTCTGCCAGAGCTGGGAGTGACAAGGGACTCGGATGGTGACAAATTCATCAGGGTGCAGAAACCAACCCAGAGGGATCCACAGGGCAGTGTCTGCAAAAATCATCTAAGGAGGGTGAAAAACCATCTAAATAGAGTGAAAATCCATCTAAACAGGGTGAAAAACCCAGTTATGAGTTCAAGGCTCCTGCCTAAAGCAGCTGGGAGGAAAACCTGGAGCCGAGCTCAGCACAGTTCCCCAAGGGCACCAGGGGAGGGACAGAGCAAGAAAGAACCCCAAAGTGGGGTCATACTAAGTATAAACCCTCTTTTTGTACTACAAGGCTGCCTGAGGCTGGTGGTTGATGGGGCTGTGGATGAAAGGAGATGGTGAGTTCCAGCCCTCAGCCACGAGTGGAGAACAAAGAACAGGATCTTTCAGATCTCCATACACACCTCCAGCCCAACTCCTTGCCAGGAATATTAATTCAGCAGTAAAATCATGAACTGCTCTGTCTGCTTGATTCTTTCTTTGCAAGGTTGCAAGTTAATAACTTACTGAAACACTAAGAAACTCGGTAAAATTCAGGGCATACAGCATTTATTGGGGGCTATTTTGGAAAATCAGTGAAAAGCATCAAGAGTGTGTTTTTTCCTTGTAACTGTAAAGGAGTCCCTGCATCAGGACAACTCTGAAGGATCTAAAAGCTGGAAGAGATTTCTACCTACTAGAGAACAACATGCTAGTAAAAAGGAAGTATCAAAGCTGAAAACCCCTGGAACTGCACTGTTAAAATGCCTCCAAACCACACAAACTACCTGGGTTTTACTGTCCACGTGCATCGCGGACATTTAAAATCAGGTTCTGGGACCAGCCAGCACACTCTGAGCTGGGAAAGCCCAAAAATAAGTTAGTTGTGAAGGAGAAAAGAGCAAAAAAGCAGAGACAATAAGGAGGCACAGGCAGATCAATCACCATCAGTGCCCAGAGGACAAAGTGCTGGGAGAAGAAGAAGTGTCCTCTCAGTTGGTTGACACTCCATCACTCAAGGGGAACATTTTCTATCTCAGCCTGAGGAGGAAGAAATATTTCACCGAGTCACCTCATACCTGTGAGGACAAAGTTCAACCTTCCAGCACAAGGTTGTTTGGGGAGAGACTGAGCTGAGCAGCTTTTTTGCTGCAGGAAAATGTAACTTCGAAAGGGACATGGCCGTACCTGCTTCGTCGTAGGACACAGTCAGCTTTTCCAGCATTTCCCGGTCGATGGATAAGATCTGCTGCTCCAGGATGGTCTGGTAGGACAGGACACTGTTCTCCTTGTCCTTCTCATAGTCTTGGAGGTGCTGCTTCAGGACCTCGGGCAGGCGGGACTTCACGTACTCTGCCGCCGACTGGGGAGAGAAGAGGCAAAGCTTTAATTAGTTCCTATTTATTAATTAGAGTCAGGGATATATAATGGACCAAATTCCCCTGAGCTAGGACACAACCCACCCTCCAGCAGGGAGTTTGGGGCAGTCCAGAGTCACCCACACCTCCCACAGCAGCTCGACTTTGGCGCTGAGGTATGTGGAAAACAAAACCACGAAATCCAACGTCTTTATTCGGAATTTTAAAGCACAAAGTGCATCCACTGGCAGAAAATTGTCAGAATTTCTCTCTCTGACTGCTCGAGGCCACGAGGAGACAGCAGCTGACACAAGGTGGCATGGTTGTACTGGTGTTACACAGCCTGGTGTAACAATGTAGTAACGTGGTAGTAACAAGGAGAGCATCTGCCCCTGCAGAGGTGCCAGTTCCATCCCTCTGGAACTGGGCTCTGAGAGACCCCAACACACCCTGGCTTCCTGCTTTTCAGCACTACCACCCCTCTCCTGTGAGTATCACACTCCCACTGTAAGAGGGAATAGGAATTCCCTCCTTCTGGCACGGGTTGGAGTTGGTTTTGGAGCTGGAAAAGCAGGATGCAGCAAGGGATGCTGCTCCCTGCTCCAGCTTTCCTGCCGACCTCGAGAAAAAAGAGCAAAATAAATCATAGCAAGGTTGTTTTATTCCAGGCCTGGGACTGACCAGAAGTTACCTCTGCTCTCCAACAGGCTCTTCCTGGGGTTATGTTTACTTTTCCAAAGTCAATCACCGATTAAATTGCAACCTTAAAATATCCCTGAAGTTGTGTTCCATGTTTCTGCACGCTGAGCCATGTGAGACCGAGGGAATTACTCTGGGAAAACTAAAGGAACTCTCCACCTGAGTCCAGAGTAACCAATGTTACATTTTTATAGTTGTTTTCTTACCTGGGAAGGCCAAAAGATACATTGGACAGGGATTAATTTAGCCCAAGTTCAGGCATTTGTGTGTCATCTTTGAGAAGAGGTTTGACTCTGGGGGGGGGGGGATTTCTGTGCTCTCCCTAAGGGAGAATTTAGGAATTCTCAAGCAGAAGAAAAGCAGAATTGATGCACATTCATTTTCTGAAACACATCTTGTGCCAGTGAGTGAATGTTGGTATAATACAGGCTGTACACGTGGAGGGAAGAACACCCATCCTGTCCCAAAGACCTTGGGAACTGGAAACCAGGAGACAGATGGGAAAACCATCAGGACCATCATCAAGTTTTTCCACAGGGATGACACCTATTCCAAGTGTGATCTCACAGGTGGGGGCTTTCCCCCCTCAGTGAGAAGCAAAACCCAACACTTGCTTAGCCCACGGCCTTTATCGTTGTGTGGAGATGTTATTGAAGATTTAAACTCCAAAGATTTAAACTCCTCTCCCTTTGGAGCAGGAAAGGGGCTCAGCCCTGTGGCAGTAATCCCATTCCAGCTGCACTGCAGGGACCAGATGGATTGTGCCACATCCTACTCGGGGCAAAAGCCATTTTATCTCAGTTTTTCAAAGTAACTGGATATTGAAAAAGAAATAATGTGAGGGGGTGAGTGCAGGTGTTCATCCAGAGAGTTGTGGATTCTCCATCCCTGGAAGTGTCCAAGGCCAGGTTGGACAGGACTTGGAGCAACCTGGGCTAGGGGAAGGTGTCCCTGCCCATGGCAGGGGGTGGGATGAGATGGGCTTTAAGGTCCCTTCCCACCCAAACCATTCTGGGATTCTGTGATCGTGGTTTTAAAGAGACCAAGAAGCCAACTGTGCCAGGTGAATGAAAATCAAACAGCACCTAAAAAAGGATGACTTCCCCCATTTCCAGGCTCTCCATCTCATCCCACAGACCACGAGACTCAACTTCTGACCAGGCCAGGAACTCCCTCCATGTGCCTCCCCCTCATGGATTTTGGTGCAGACCCATTTGTTGGGATGCTGCTCCTCCTCCAGCCAGTCCTGAGGTCCCCCTGCATTCCCAAAATCTCTTTTCATTAATCTGTGGGTTTGTGTCACAGGCAGAAATCAAGGTAAAAAAACTATTTTTGAAGCTCCAGACCAGCTTTATCCTCTTTTCCTCAGTATGGTCCCTCTTACAGGAAGGAATTACAAATGCAGCTGCTCCTGGAAAACACCTGAGCTCAGGGATTAGATTTGTTGGGCATTCTCCCTCATCCCTGTGGGAAAACAACTCGGAGCTGTGGCCACTTCTTTTATAAATTGAAACTCCACCATCCCCCATAAATCTGCTTCCAGTCTGAAACACCCTCCTCCAAATTAAATACAGGATTGGCTTTAATACCTTAACTGACTTTAGGGTATTTTGTCCTACCATGGAAAATTAATATTTCATATGTAGAGAATATATTTCAAAATGTCTACATACGATGAAATACACTTGAAAAGCTTATTCACAAAAAAAAAATAAAAATAAAAATAAATCACATTTTACTCTGTTCACTAAAAAAAATCCCTGATAAAAATCCCATCAGGAATTGCTGCAATCCCTCGTTCTGCAGCAAACTGAACCCCAAACACAGCCAGTGTCCTTCTGTCACCCTGCCCAAATCTGCCCACAGTTTTTAACTGCTGAGAAATCCTTACTCAAAGTAAATTTGCCTTTTATAAATTATGCCAACCACACGCTGAAATTTGTTCTGCTTTTCTCAAGTGGATCCTTCTGGGAGCCGCTTCGTACGTGGGGAAGGAAAGGTCTAAAATGGTTAACTAAAGGTTTCTTTATGAAGCTACTTCAAAAGTCAAGTGGTGGCTTGAGAAAGCATCTCCTCACACACTTATTTGGGGGATTTTGGAAAGGTTTCCAACGTGCAGCAGAGTTTTGGTGGGTGGGAACCCACCATACCCAGCAGGGAGAGCTGCATCCTTCCTCATCCTCATCCTCATCCTCCTCATGTTCCACGGGCTCACCACGTCCCAAACCCTGACTTCACCAACCCACCTGACCTTTCAAATTCAAATTTCACCAAATCCTGCATGTTTTTGGCCCTTGAAACACTCAGACAGGTCTCATGAAATGGTGCTATTGGCTGATAAATGCCGGGGGAAAATGGAAGACCCTTTCCAAGAGGCAAAGCCCTGGGAATGCTGTTCACCCCGTGGTGGGGAGGAGGAGGAGGAGGGAGGCAGAACATCCTAAATTACATGGTTCTCCACACAAACGCCCACACAGGGAAGAGATTCCCTCCGTGGGCACAAGTGGGAACATTCCGGGAGCGACCCGAGCGCTCCGTGACAAAATGTGTTAATTAGGACGACGAGGGTTAAGTGGCTCCACGACCCCGTGAAGCCAAACAAAGGCCATGGGAAGAGCAGAACACAGCGATGGGAAGCACCAAGGGACCAAAATTAGCTGGAAAAGCCATTATTTGCAGTCACACAATTCCAATTTAAGGAATGGAAGATGGAGATTTTGCTGCCTCAGACCAACTCTCGGCACCGACTCCCAGGAGTTACAGGGGGAGGAGGGACCCCACAAATTTATGATCTTAATGTTCTTGAGACAATTAATTCTCCCTGCCCAGCTGCTGCAAACATTCAGGGAGCAGGGGAAATACAGGATCCAGTTTGTAGTGTGGCACTGGGGTGTAGCTCCCACACCAAGATCCCTCTGTCACATCTCACTCCCCCTGTTTTCCACAGGTTTCCTTTCCCTCCAAAGACACGTGGGTCACTGCAAGTTTCCTTCTTCAGAGATGATGATCATCATTCTTCCAGATGATCCCTGGAAGTGGATCCAAGGCCAGGTTGGACAGGACTTGGAGCAATGGGGATACTGGAAGGTGTCCCTGCCCATGGCAGAGGGTGGGGCTGGATGGGTTTCAAGGTCCTTTCCAACCCAAACCATTCCAGGATTTTATACATAGCGACCATGCAAAGATGTCTCTTGTGTTTTGAATATTACTGGTTATGTATTTCAGAGCATCCCAAAAACCAGTTTGGGTGTGGAATGTTCCAGCACTGAGAAGCCCCCTAAGATAAGGAAGTCAAAAGAAAACTTGTATGAAGGTGAAGATTAATTCTTCAAGGAGAAAACAACATAATAAAGACAAAAGACTTCAAAGGAAGAACAATTCTGAGGCTTGACAGTACAAAAGGTCCAAGAGCTGCAAGTCCAAGGAGAAAAGAAGATACAGGGAACAAACCTCAGAGAAATGATCTGAGTGAAAACTATCCCAATGCATAAAAACCTGGAATTAACCTGGCTAAGTCATCTCCAACTCACGGACACACAGACACAGTCAGAACACCACCCAAGTATAAAAGAACAACAAACACTGAGAAACAACTGGAGACTAAAGAGGAAAATGACCTGGAGCTGGGAAAGGCAGCGAGAAAAGGTTCTACAAATCCACGTGTAATAAGGAAAAATCCAGGGATTTGTACTGCTGAGTACAAGAACTATTGACAGGTGAGGCCATGAAAGCTCAATATTTAATGCACCACTCACTACCCCACCCTTGTTGGGTTCAACTGGCAGCTAAATCCGAGGCAAACAACCAAAATCCCGAGGCAGAACAGGGCAGGAACAGGTTGGGAAGTGCTTCTAAAGATATGATATTTTCCAGCTGGCTGGGGCAGCTCAAATCCACTTGGGAATATGCAGGTAATGGGTGGAAATAATGTCTTTAAGGACCTCTACCACTGAGAATTCCCAGGGGATGCTGAGACGCTGTTTGGGAAGGGCAAATGTTGGGGTTCCTTTTAAAATGGTCTAAAGGGAGAAAGGCAGAATTCCAAGCTGAACTTGGATGCCTAAAAAACCAGGAGAGCAGATCAAGGGATTTCTCCACACAGGATTTTGTGAGGCACAGAGAACAAAGTGGCTCCTCGGGGTGTCCGACCTGCCGGTTCCATTCCCATCCGCTGCAGCCTCAGGAGCAAATATTCCCATGCTCATTCCAGCAAAAACCTTGTGCTGCAAAGCCTCGGGACCACTGGGCACACCCTGAGCACACACAAATGTTCCCTCTGTTTTCCTAAGCCTTAGGGGATCCTGAG